AAAGTGTTAAGTGTTAAGAAGAAATAATTCCTCTTTTTTCAAGCCTTACAAGTCTCTCATTTTTCCTTTATTATTTTATTGAATTATTCCATTGACTTCTTATTTAAAATATAAAGGGGAAGGTGAATTGAATACTTTATATTTCTCAAAGGGAAATAAAAAACTAGGTTGCTTTTTATTTGTTTGTAGGTCTCCATCGATTTTTCAGTGGGTCAATAGCTCACAATTGAAAGCAGCAGCACCACCTTTAACATAAATCTCCCTGGGATGCATAGAAATGGATATTGAGGCAGAGGGAGCCCTTAAGGAGCTAGTCTTCCATAAGTTTTCATTGTTCTGCGAGTCAAGAATATTAGGTTTATCTTCCTGGCATACTCATTTTTTTGTGTAATATAAAATGAGGCTATAACAGAATACCACTGGAGACTAGGGTATAGGGAGGGGCACAGGAAGGCAGAGCTCAGAGGCACAAAGAAGCATGTCTAAGTAGAATACCTCACTCACTCTACATTGCCTGCTGCATGTGATACTTACCCAGTCTTCATTCATTATGTACTTAAGTCCTGAATATGACCCAAAGATAGAATGAGAGAAAACAAGAAAGCAAGAGAGAGAGAATGGGAGAGCAAAAGAGAGAGTGAGACAGACAGACAGACAGACAGACAGACAGCTCAGTCATCCCTCCCCAGTACAACTGCAGAAAAAGATTTAGGCAAGCCCTTGCATATTTAGTGAGGGTGTTTTACTGAGGTGGGGGTGGGGTAGATATTGGTAACATTGCTTTCTTGGATCCAAAGACACATTGAAGTTCAAGCACATGAAGAACTCCTGATGGGATTATGGGTCTGGAGGCTTCCTCTTAGGTTAAAATTTACTGTGAGATTTGGATTATTCCTCTGATTTCATAAAAGGAGAAACTGAATTGCAGAAAGTTTAAGTTAGTACTCAACTACCCTTAGAAGGGCACAGTAAGAGTATGACCATGATCTAACACAACTTTGTTCTTGTCTCCTTTTTTGTAGGTTCAAATGCCTGGAGAGACAGAGCTGGCCCCAGGTCTTGGCAGCAGCTCTCTGCAGAGGTTTCAGAGCAGTGGGGGTCTCTCAACTCCCCAGGAGTGCTGCCAGTGAAAGGCAGGACTGGAGTTCCATTGTATGTCTTTGGCTGAAGCTTTCAGTTTTTGTTAAAGTGGAAATGTCTCCAGGAAAAGTCAAATCTCAGAAAAAATTCAACAGAAATTTATTTCTTACAGGTCTTGAGGTTGGGAAGATCAAGGTATTAGTAGATTCTGTCTCTAGTAAGGGCCTAATTCCTAGATCAAAACCTTTTTTTGCTGTGTTTTCATGTGGCAAGAGTAACAAGGGATCTCTCTCTAGTCTTTTTTTTTTTTTTTTTAAGAGCAATATTTTTTTATGAGGATCCTGGCTTCATGACTGAATCATTTTCCAAAAGAAATATCTTCTAATACTATCACTCTAGGGGTTAGAGTCTCCACATGCAAATTTTGTAGAAGCATAAACATTTAGACAATAACAGACTTCTTCCATAAGAACCTCTCAGGCATGGTGCTGCATGCCTACAGCCCTAGCATGCTGAGAGGATATGGTAGTGAATCGCAAATTTAAGTCCACCTGAATAACTTTTCAAGTCTCTGTCTCAAAATGGGTGGGGCTGTAGCTCAGTGTGAAGGCCCTCCTTTCATTCCTTAGTACTGTGAAACAAACCAACCAATCAACTTTCCCTATATCCCTCATATGCACTCATATCCATTCGTTTATGAGATTTTTCTGTCAGGCTGAGAGGAAACGATCCAAGATGACCTGCCCTGCCATACACTAAACGTACCTGAGTTCTGTCAAGCTTCTTTCCCGAGTCATTGCACAGAGGAACACAACCTTTCAGAACTATTTGCCCACAGAGTACGGTAGGGTAGAATAAGATACAAAATATGCATTTCTATTATGTGTGGTTTACCATACAGTTTGGGTCTGCTACTTACAGTAGGTGTAATGGTCTTATATGGTTTAAGGATGAAGGAATGGGCTGTGAAGTTTAACCTAGTGTTGTAGTCAGGGTTTACCTAGAGAACAAGATAATACAGAACACATAATTTATAGTATTATTTTATAATTGTCACCTAAAGAGTCAAATACAAAAGAAAATGTGCAGGAAATCTGTCCACACATTAAGATCCAAAGAATTCATCTGAAGAACTGCATCCTATGGCAAGGTCCTGGATAAGTCCAACTGAAGACCCAAAGCCCATGATAAATGCCCCCATGAGTCCAGTGGGAAGCCTAGAGCCCAGGACAATATCTTGTGCAATTTTGTCACATGATCTATGCTGGGCAGGCCTAAAGTCCCATGGAGGAAGCTAAAAAGTCTGTGCCTGTGGGATCAAGGATCTGTGCCAGTAAGCTGAAGGATCTGCACTGGAGCCAGGAAGTGAGAGTCAAAGTAAGGACCAGGGCTTCCATGAAAAGTACCACAGCCATCCTCAGCAGCAACAAGGTTCCAAGCTCCCCTGATGATGAGAACAGCCAAGTTCATATGAAGAAAGAAGCTCAACAAACTCCTCAGGAGAACCAATGGCAACAGGAAAACCACCAGCACCATGGAGTATGAATATTATTACTTCCTTCTCTGTAACTCTCCTTTATATGTGGGCTACAATTCTCAGATGATCCATCCACACTCAGCACCATACTGATTCAGCTCAACTGGTATTGCAAGTTGACCACTAGTTATCAATCTATCTACCTAGAAAGTCACAAGCTCAGTATAAGTTTGAGTTCTGTATTTACTGTTGACTAATTCTGTGGACTATGGTCAGTCTCAGCTTCTCAGAGACAAAATTTTCACATTCACCATGGGGGAAAAGACCATTTATTATTTTTTTTTTTCTTGCCTCTCTCAGAGTTACTGGGAGATTCCTCAAGACAAAAAGCCTTTTTCTAAAAATAGGCATTACTATGAAGCTAATGCATACCAGCTTTTAAGGAATCATTTGAGAAAAAAAGAGGTATTCGAGAAGCTGGAGACGGGGAGGGGACATCTGAAGTATGAAAGGGACATAGCCCAGAAATCTGGGGGCACAAAGACAGGTGCCATCAACTATGTTCTGTTCAGAGCCAACTGGAACAGGGCATCTTGCCTTGGGAGGTTCAGATACAGACAGGACCCTATGATCTACAGCAAGCCTGTGTCCCTCTAACAAATCTAATTGAGGAAAAGCAAAAGGAATGGAAGGGTATGTAAGATTCTTCCAGAAGACAATGAGAGTGTGAAGAACAGGACCTTAGTTTTAGTCATGAGACTCCTGGAACATGAGAGGGCAATGTTATATTGCAGAGAATATTACCCATGATAAACCCTACCACAAAGGGTTTTGGTACAAAAACGTGCGTTCCTGCCTAATATTTAAGTCAGTCATAGCTTGTGTGATTTGTTCTTGATCCTGACTCAAGCTCTAGGGAAAGGGATTCTCCTGCTTCCACCCTGTGGAATTCCCTGCAAGTCTGCAAGAGTGCTCCAGGACATACCAGGAAAACCCTGGATAGAGGATAAGATGGTGCAGCGTTCCTCACCTAAGGCCTTGCTTCATTAAGTCAGGTCCCACATAGGCAGGCAGAGCTGCAGAGGTGGTGAGGATCCTTCCTACCTAAGAAGAGCCATGAAGATATTCTGGCTTCATTTTCTTTTCCTCCCCCAATCTAAAATTCTACCTTCTTGGATTCCTTTTCGATTCACTTAAATTTTATTCTAATTGTAGATGCTCATATAGTGACAAGAAATAAAGATTCCCTGTATACCTTTCCTGTAGTGTCTCCCAGTAATAACATCTTGTATAACTATAATATAATGTGGCAGACTGAAAATTAACATTGATAAGACTCACTGACCTTACCAGACCTCAGCTGCTTCATATGCTCTGTTTACGTGTACACCGTAGCTCTCTGAGTCTTACCCCAGGTTTACACTTGCAGAATCATCACTGCAGCCCAGTCGTGAGGCAGTTCCACTGCGAGGTCTGCTCATGTTGTTCCTTTACCAGTCCACATCCACTTCTTTCCCTATTCTTTCTCCTTCAACTTGGAGTACTAAATAACAACTAAATTAATTTAATTTTAGATATTTTCAGGATATTTGCTGAACCTTTTTCTCTAGAGAACTACAAAGCTTGACTGTGAAGGACCACCAGCAAGTCTTAGAACTACGACCAGACAGAGTAGAGAAGCCTTGGGTTCTATCCCTCTGTCTGTGACTTACCGTGCTTTTCTCATTGTGCATGTTTCTTAATCTCTTAGTGCCTCAATTTTCTCATCTTAAATGTATCTATCTATCTGCCTTTCTAATACCCAAGGCCTGGAGTATCTTCCCAACCCAAGGATATTACTTTAGACTACCTGTGATATTGTGTGGATTCGGTGAGATAATACCTGAAGTAACACTGCATGTCATAGACAACTAACCACTGGATGCATTTTCATATAAATAACTCCATTTAATTTCTATACCAGTGTCAGGTTCATTCTGATGCCCCATTTTACCATCAAGAGACTGAAATTCACAGAGATGTCCCAGTGAGCCTCAGGTAGAAGCTTGTATACAAATGAATCTGATTTCAAAGTCAAATCTACCAGAGTCTGTTCTCCTGTTCTGTTTTTATGTTACACTTTGATGAGGAGAATTAACTTTGGAAAAGTGTACACAGTGACAAAGGTATACAGATACATGGACAGTCATCAATCCTTATCCAGGATGTCATTTCTCCACAGAGTTCTTTTCTCTTATGGAGTTTAGGATACTTATCTGTCACTTTAAAAATCTATTTATCTCTGTTTTTTACTTTAGTTTTATTTTTTAAGACAAAGTCTTTCCATGTAGGGTAGGCTGCCCTTGAACTCACTGGGCTAGTCTCAAACATGTGGCAATCCTTCTGCCTCAGCCTCGTGAGTGCAGAGTGCAGGGATTATAAGAATGCACCACCATGCCCAACTAAATATATAGATGCTTTATGAATTTGCATGTCATCTTTATGCAGGAGCATGTTTATCTTCTCTTTATCATTCCAATATAAGTAAGTATGTGTGCTGCAAAGCAAGCATCTCCTATTTTAAATGTAAGTTTTATTATTATTCAGGTATCCTAGATCCACAGATCGGGAAACAATTGCTATTGAAGAGTTCTTTACACCCACTTCTAAAGGAGGGGCCATACTGATTCAGGTAGAATCATATTGGAAACTTTAAAGTGGGTCAGGAGACTGGGGGAGCAGGGAAAATGTGAGCAAGAGTCTTTGCTGTAGTTTCTGTGGGAAAGATTGTGTGTAGGGGTATGCAGGTTTACGGTTGGCTTGTCCAATAATTTCTTCAGGTCTTGGGGCATAGTGGCTCTCCTATGCATGGTAAGGTACCTGTCTAGGAATTATTAGGCCACGAGAATAGTGAGTTTGAGTGTAAGAGTCCCATAAAGGACATGCGGGAATGAGCTAGGGCTGGTGGTTTTGCTTAGGAGACATGTGCTCACAGGTGTGATTTGCTCTCTCCAGCAATTGGATCTTTCTGGAAGAGACAGTACCTCCAAGTCAGCAAGGTCCAAAGACGGTGAAGCATCAAAAATATTGAAAATAAAGAGCATAGTTAGTACAGTCCTCAGGTTAAAATTTTCTCTGTTTTGGAGGAAGAGCTGGTTTCTGATACATTCAGGTTTCAATGAAGGACAGTTTGGTCAATTAATTAAAAATTGGTGAAGTAGGCTTAAAAGTACTGCAAAGTTATTGCTTAACGTCTGCAAAATGTAGACAGAGTGATCCACGGTTTGCTGAGCAGAACTGGAAATAGAGATTTATTGTGTATACACTTATTAAAGAGAGTGCCTGAAGCCACTATAGGTAAGGTGGAATCTATCTCAATTCTCACTTTTCTGGGCCCATTTTCCACTTTACACTCTTTCTAACTTCACTGTTATCTGCTGTGCACTCATCTACCTTTTGCTCACATTTGGTTGCCCCATCCTCCTGCCAGATGTATTCTGCAATTTTCTGCCTCAGTGTCTGGGCTCCAAGATCATCTCCTTCCTCCAGTGCTTACCAGCCAATCAGATTTCTACACAATTGGCATAGAACAAGTTTTCTTAAATGTCTTGAGATCTCAGAATGCCAAGAAATAGAATGTGTGTTTCTGTGTGTGAGAGAGAAACAAAAAATATATTTATATATGTTTTCATTTTAAAATCAAATTCACCTGTATTCAGACAAAAATATACCAGAAAACAACATATGCAGGGAAACTAACATGGAGTGAATTAATCAAGGATGATTGCAACATGAAATGTTTCTAGTGTCTAACATCACTAGTGATATACCAGTGCAGAGAAATACCAGACCAAAAAAGACTCTGAGTCTTTCACTCAGACTCTTGCCTTTGAAACACCCCCAGCTTATGGGTTCACCTCATAATTATTAGTGGTTTTGATGATGTCATGGTGCCATTAAGCGAAGACCCCTAAGAATGCACATAGGATAGACAATTATCTGTATGTGTGGATCTGAACATTTGATATAAAGGGGGAAATATTTTATTAGGATTTTTCATTTGTTTTCCTTTTTGTTTCATGAAAGAGTCTTGTTGAGACAGAAGGATTTTATATTTACTTCATTCTTTGATAGCATTAACTTCTTCACAGGGTTATTGTAAATCTTGGCTTTTAAAAATGTTGCATATTTGAAGAATATTCCTTGATTCCAGGTGTTGGCATTTGACAATTCTGACTTCACATGGGATAGAAATCATATATTCAGCAATTTTAGCACCTGAATGTTGGTTGACATCAACCATCTGATGAAGCAATTGCTTTGGGGGATGAGGGTAGAGACTGGAATATATCACGCTGGCTGTCCTTGCTGGGATGCCAGATTCTTACTCCACCTAATAGATGTAGAAATAAATGTTTCATTTCAGCCTTTGCCACTACTGTTATGATAGTACAATGGAAAATATTTTAAGTGTTTATTGAATGCTCCAGGCATATCTGTGAAAGGTCCCAGACAAATGCTGATACAAGGGAAAAAGAGGGAAACAAAGACAGAGAGAGAAAGAGAGACAGAGACAGACAGAGAGACACAGAAAGAGATAGAGAAAGAAGGCAGAGAGGTCTCAAATTCATTGTATGCAGAAAAAATGTACACACGTGTGTGAAAGATGTTCTGCTGGTAGTTGTCACAGTGTTTTGAGGCATATTCCTTAACTCTGGGTATTGGCACTTGACAATACTTAGCCCCTTCTCAGACTCTTCCTTTTACCTTCGTGCTTTGAAATTAGACTTTTCCTGAGAATGCTTCTTTGTTTGCTCTCCTCTCTAATGTTAGTTGTCTCATTTGCCATACTCCTCATTGTTTTGACTTACTACATCCAAATCAGTGCTTGTTACTCGAGACCAAAAAATCTCTTTGTAACTAACTGTTGTTTAATGACTTTGCTTCTTATTTCATTTAGGAAATAGAAGCCAATGAATAAAGTATTCATGTTTTCACCATGAAATATATTAAACTATTCATTTTATCCACTTACTTAGCCAACTTCTTTTAAAATGAATTATATAGGAGCACTCTTGGTCCAAATTTTTCACATGTGTAGTGGATTTTAACTCCTCACCCTGACTCAAAGACACTGTTCCTTCAATTACACCCTCTTTTCCCAGCATCATCAACATTTTCTCCTGGTTGACCAATCGTACAACACAAACATGCTGAAATATCCCCCACCTGGTCTCTTTCACTCGATTTTCTAGCAAATCTCCTAGAAAAAATTGTTTGTCCATACTATTTTCATTTCTCCTTATCACATTTTATTTTCAACTGACTTTATTCAGACTTTAACCCGATATTTTTATCAACCATATCAATAAGATCTAAACTGACTCTCAAGCTGCCAAATTCAATAGGTGATTCTTAATGCTCATCCTACTCTTTCTACATTAAGTTGTGTTATGTACATGTGCCAGCTCCATACAAGGAATGTGATCATTACTACAAGTACACAAACATGTTAATAAAAAAGAAATTATAAAAACCTTTCAACAAAACTTGACCCAGTGAACCATCTACTCCTAAACTACTTTCTTCATTTTATCTTCTGATTAATATTCTTTCTTGTTTGGCTTCATACCTCACTTACAGATTCTTCTCTGCTGGGTTTTCTTAATGACTCCTATTATGGAAGCTCCTTAGGGTCAATCTTGGATCTCTCCTCTCTGATCTCTTGCTCTTTGTTACAACTGCTCTCTAGGTAATTTCCTCAACCCTTGCGAGTTTAAATACCTTAAACACTGGGACGGTGCTATACATGTACCTCCCCCACAGTTCCAGCGTCCTGTCTGCTCAACACTTACAAGGGAGTGTCCAGCAGACATCTCTGTCCCAGTGTGTTGCAGCCTAAACTCTTCTCTGCTTGTTCTATGCTTTCCCATTTCAAAGTCTTCTATCTTTATAAATCATAACTCTGGATTATAGCTATTTAGACCAAATACTTTAGTATTATTCTTTATTTCTTCCCTTCTCTCACTCTGCACAATTCACCCATCAGCTAATCCCACTGAATTACCTTATAAATTGAGACTTTGTTTCTTCTCATCTCTACCATGACCACCCTAGTCCTTGCTGTTATCATCGTTCACCCTGGTTACTGCAGTGGTCTCTTTGCTGACGTCCCTGCTCACTGTCCGCTCAGCTATCACTACCACTGCCTTGCACCCTTATGGTCTGTACTCCACTGACCAAACTGATCCTTTAAAAAAGATGCTTTTCTTAAAGTCAGATTTTTTGATTTTTCCTTTGCTGAAAGCACTCTAGTGACTTACTGCTTCAGGTTAAGTAAATAAGTGACTCAGATTCCTTACCACTGTCACAAGTTCCTAAATAATTCATGTCCTTCTCACCTCTGCACTTGTCTGTAACTTTTTTTTTTAAACCACCTTCCTTTCCTCACTTATTCCAGCTACACAGGCTTCCTATCAGTTCCTTGCAAGTCCCTCTTGTCTCTTGGCCTTTACATTATTTCTTCCTCTGCTTGGAAGATGCTTTTTTCAGCTACCGACATCACTGTATCCCTTTCAGGTCTCTACATTACTTAAAGTTGAACATCAGCCCTGTGACCCCCTCACCCAATACTCTCTCTTCTCTTTCCTTGATTTATTATTTTTCATAGAATGTACTACTGTTTGATCTTTTATATATTATTTATTTTCATTGTTCTTGGATTCTGAATATGTGAGTTTATCACTGAAATTTATTTGTAACTCCAGTGTCAATATTGTGCTTCTTCTCTATCTTTTGCAGATGTTCACAGAGGCAGAGTATTTGAGTCTCTTGAAGAATATGTTCCCAGGAGAATTTTGACATGGGAACCATATGCTTTCTTATTTTCAAACTGTATACAAAGTGTCCTTTATTTGTAGTACACTATTTACATTTTTATGTTTTCATGAGTGATTTCTCTGTTTAAAATTGTTCCCCCATACATAGTGCTTAAGTGCTGCCAGAAATTTTATGTGCAAAAATGCTGTGTGAAGTACAGTGTATATAAAACTGGTGTGGCAGATAAGGCTGGCCATGAGTTAAAAGGTTGTTGGTCATGAGTGCAATTCTATTAACGATATTGGATAAAGTATCTTACACAGAAACACACATAAAATTATACATTGATCAGTTGATGAAAATGTGATCAGAAGCTCATGGAAACTTATCTCTTAATGTTATTTCTCTTAACAGCAGTGGTTCATTATTCACAAATTCAATGTTTGTTGCAGCTCAATACAACATAACTACTGTGAATAAAAAGAATTTACTGTGCTCATTTCTTTGATCACCATTAGTCATCCTAAGCAAAGTTCTATGAGATGATTCCTTGCTATAACCTGAGGATTCAGAGCTATGCCTAAAATACAGCAAGCAAGTACTCAATAAAAATTTGTCATAAGGTCACTTCAGTGGTCTAAAAATTTACAGACATTTCTAATGTGTGCATATCCTTTATAAAGTAGAAACACTGTTGAAATACAGATACTGTTCATGTAGGAAAATATTACAAATGCTTAATTTCTTCATTAT